CACTGAGCCAGCTGAGGGACAGTCGCTGCAGGGACAGCCCTTAGAGCTGAGGGGCACTCACCACACACACTGAGCCAGCTGGGGTTCCCCCGGTGTATTAGGAGCACTTAACTGTCTGAAGAGCACAGGCCTGGCTTGTGCGTCTCACTGTACCCCTGAGATGTGTTTTGTTTTCTTGAAAGTGTTTTTTGTTCACTTTGGGGGTTTTAAGCATACTTTTCCATGAATTTATGCTGTAAGTAGTTTTCTCAGCCTCCCTTTCCTGTATTCTGTGTGTGTGGCAGGGATGGTTGGGCCGTACCTGACAGGGCCTTTGCAGCACTGCAGTCAGTGACCCGGGGCAGCACGGCCTGCCTGGGTCTCCATCACAGCAACTGCAGCTTGTCTTGCGAGTCTGCAGGTAAATCTTTGTGAGGCGTATCTGTGACTGCAGTGGGGACAGCTCTGGCAGAGGGGTGGGGTGGCAGGATCAGTGATTTGAACCATGCATGTCGTGAGCAGGGCGGTTCAAGTGGGCACCTTTATTCTGACAGGGACTCAGCTGAGCTCAGTGCCTCAGTTTTCAGTTGGCTTTATTTAGTCTGGGTGTGTTGGGTTTGGTTTTGTGTGGTGGGGGTTTTGTTTTTCGTTTTGGGGTTTGGGGGTTTTTTTGGTAGGGGGGCATAAAGGGGGATGCTCCTCCTTACTTTCTTTTTTTACTTTAAAAATACATGTTGTTCTAAATATGGAAATTAGTAAAGATTTTGGCACTTAACTGTTAGATTACACAGCTAACAGGGCTCTTATGAATATCTAAAAATTGAACTCCGTATTAAAACTTTGACATAGCTTTCCATTGCTTTGAAAAACAAATTACAAAACAGCTATGTAGTACATCCCAGAACTTAAAATATCCTCCTGAAGAGGGAGAAAGGGTTTCTTTCAAGACAATATTTTGGATAACTTTGTTCAGAATTGAATTTTCACACATGCCTCAGAACTTAAATTGTTATTGTTAGGTTGACTGTAGCTTAATTAGTGCTAATTGATTTTGTGATTGGCAGATATCTTAATAAAATATAATTAAACATGTTGGAACACAAGTAGTATGCAGCTGGTTCTTATCTACATTACTTATTCTAGAATACCTGGAACTAATCATGAAATCTTTATTGCTGTTAGTGATATTGTTCAAAAACCTGGAAGTGTTTAGATATTGGTTTGGTTTTCTTTTTTATATTTAAAATACAAATCTCAGATGTAACAGTTTCTGGGGAAGAATGCATATAACGTAGTGAGGTGTTAAGATTTAGTATAGTTAGCAGTGACTGAAACCCCTCTGATTTCTTGATTATGGTATCTGGAAGTTGATTCAAGTCTGCCACGACACAGAACTCTGGAGCCTTTGCTGGATCTCTGTGGCTCCTCCTGTGTGAAAGCATGGAGTTACTGGTTAACAGTTGTCTGGGATAAAAGTATTCTTTTGTTCTCTATGTCATTTTGTAGATATCTTTGCTTAAACTGTACTTTCTTCTTGCAGTTAAAGCTGGAGGTATGAGAGTGTCTAAAAAGCAAGAAAACGGACCTGTTGAAAAAAACACTAAACCTGCAGGAAAAGAAAAGTCAAGGTACTGCAGTGCAGAGCCTGCTCCCCTCTGCCCCAGAGTTAAAGTTCGTAGGTTATGGCCTTTGAACAGAAAGAAAACTCTTAGTTTTGGGGAGTTTAATTCTTAAATTAACTTGTGCAAAATATAGATAA